AAGAGAAAAATCATCATTATGACAAAAAGAAAAACAAGGAGCAGTTCTATAAAACCGAAGTTCTTTAACCACTTGTTCTTTACTCCTCACTTCCATATCATATTTAGTTTGTAATTCTTCTTTATCCTGTTCCAGTCTTTCAATATCCTTATTTATCTTCCACAATTCATCATAGATTTCAAATGTTGAGATTAGTTTTTTCCTAATCTGTATGTATTCTCCTCGTAATTGATTTCATTTATCACCTTGTAGTTTTGATTTCAATTCTATATATCAAATGTTATTAGGATAGTAAACATTAGCATCATCTAAATAGATATCTTTTCCTAAGTAATCTGATAGTTCTTTCTCGGCTTCATTTGGTTCCTTATCCTTGGCTTGTTCTTGTAAAGTTTTTATTGCTCCTTGGAGACTAGTTATTTGGTTGGTTAAAGTATTTACTTTCTCTTGTTCGGTTTGGATATCTGATTGGTATTTAGCAATATCTTTTTCCATTTGGGTTATTTGTTCGGCGGTTAGGTCAGTTTGAGTTCCTACATCCATCATTGGAGGGGTTAGTTTCCTTGCTACTTTCTCCAATTTATCCAAGGCATCGGCAAAAGAAATAATCTCTTTATCACTTGGGGGCAAATTCCTTATCTTATCTAAAAACTCCTTATTCTCCTTTCTCAATCTGCTTAACTCCTCCCTTTCGTTTTCTTTTAATACTTCTGGGGCAATGGCGATAACTTCCTTTTTATCCCCAGCAGAAAGCATGATTAATTTCCGAATGGTAGCTTGATTACTATCGGCTAAAATCTGCTCTAATTCAGTTTTTCAAGTTTGGAGGGATTGGTTGGTTTCTAATGCCATCAAAGGAATTTTACCTGACAACTTATCCTTTACTACTCCTAATTCCTTCTGAGCCGTAGTAATCATTCTGGCTCCAAATTTAACTCACACATCCTCATCGGTTATGTTTTGGTATTTTTCTTTAAGAGCTTTGATTATTAAACTATCATTAGGGTTAATTTTTTTCTCCTCAGCAGAAGTGTAATTGGGTCCCAAGGACAGTCTGCGGGCCAATTCTAATTTTTTGATTGCCTTTTCGTAAATGTCATTCATACCCCCTATTTTAGCATAAAATTATAAATAATAACTATGAATA